GTACATCATGTAGCACTGGGTTGTGATTGAAGTCACCGCTCCGCTTTTAAATTGTTTATAGGATGAGGAGACTATTGATGCTGATGTGCCTCTTGCTAATGACTCTTTCAAGAAACAAGCTTTGGATAAGCCTGTATCATGCTATGAGTAAGTTATAGATATTGCACTGTGTAATGATGAGATGATGACAATAGGGCTTATTGTAATATTATTTGTCAGTCTTGAGAAGAAAGTGATGAAGCTCCATCGCCCAAGCGGATTAATACTGAGTAATACATAATTATTATTATCTTTTGTTTATTTAATTTTCTTACAGCGCTCCTCCAATAGTACAGATAGATGAAGGTGTTGCTAAACTTTTACTGCAAGAGCATCAAGAACTGACATGCATTTCAGATTCCGGACCAGCTTTATCCTATGCTACTATTAGATGAAATCACATATTCTCAGACGTCATTTCTCAATTTAAGCCCATGGCATTCAATCCAATTTTTCCTTTCGTTGTTAATTTTGCTGATGAGCCAGGAATGGATTCTGGTAGTCCTATTAGGAAATTATTCCGTCTTTTCAAGCACAGTTTGCAGCAACAGCCACACCTCTTTGCTAGCACCGATGTTGGATTAGTACCGATGCATAATGATTTAGCTGTAATCAAAGGAGATTTTGAGGCAGCTGGGAAAGTTTTGGCAACCAGCTGCTTGTTTGAAGGTCCAACTCTTCAGTGTTTTTCGCGTTTTGTAGCAGAATTTATTGTTTGTGACAGAGTGCAATCTACACTTGATGTTGAATGTATTACTGACCATGAAGTCAAGAGGAAGATTTTAAAGGTCTTTTCTTTATCTATCTCCTAATTATTTTGCACAATTTTTATAGATATCTTCAGCCAACTCAGATGAATTTCAGCAGCTTGTCACAAGTGAAGACTATAGTTTTCAGTATGAATGTGGCTTCAATAAAGTTATCAAGTTCTCAAACAAGAGGAAGTTTGTGAATTGTGCATTAATGCACTATACTCTTTTCAACATACACTCAGAGCTTACCTCTTTGAGGAAAGGTTTTATGAAGACATTGGATTTTGATAAGTTTGCTGAAGCTAATCCTGAGATATTGCTAGGTATATGTTTCACTAGAACAGCAAGTCACTGCTATTACGACATTATTTTTAGGTATACTTCGTTTTCAACCCAACAAGAAGATTACTGCTTCTGCATTCATTGAGCTCGTTAGTCCAACCTATTGTCCAATCGATAGAGCTCAACAAGAGAGGACAATGACATTTCTGTTTTCATTTGTACATAGCTGCAACTGTGAAGGTACTCTTTTCTTGTTTTGTTTCATTTATGGTTTATGCTTCAGGCAGTCCTAATGGAGTGTCTGTAGGTGACATTTTTTCTTTCATTACTGGCGCTTCTACAATTCCAGTTGTTGGGCTAGAAGAAAACATTACTGTCAAATTCACAGATGAGAATTGCATCCCTTATGCTAGCACTTGCTCACCAACTTTGACTATTCCTTACAAGATTGAGAGCCAAAATAAGTTTAATGAAGTAATGACATGCTGTATTGAGTTGAGCAGGTTTTGGCTGTGTGTAATTATTAACCTTGGAACGTTGCATCATTTACTTTCATTTTTAACTGAAATATAATGTCTCCCATTTTAGGCTTTCATTTCTCATCTTTTGTGTTATGTTTTATTCATTTACTCTCTTCTGTAACTATAATAATGATTATTACTTGATGATGCTTTTTTCAAATAATAATTCTTTTGATAAATTTGTTATGCTGCATGCATTTTCATTGAGTTGGTTTTGGTGGTTGATTGCTGTTTAGAATTTAACACAAAATTTCAGTTACATTTGAAAGGAATCTTAATTCTGATGCCAGACTTCCTTCCAATGTATTCAACAACAAGAATGTCAAAAGCTCAGAAATTTAGCTGTTAACTCAAAAAATGGGATTATATGTTCAATTGTTTATTCACAGAATTGTACTGAATTTGTAAGATACCAATTTTTTATCTGATTTTATGTTATTTTTATCTGATTTTTGAGCATACTTCATTTTGGGTGAAAAAACTTGGAGTTTTGAGCTTGTAACTTTCAGCCCTACACAAAATGAAGTATGCTTAAACCATGCTTAGCTGATTGAATCATCTTTGAATAGTTATTTGTCAAATTCAGTACATGTGTGTAAATAGATAATTGAACATATGATCTAGTGTGCC